GATTGGGAATTAATACCATGGGTTGATAATTATAACTAAATATATTAAAGCTTCTAATATTCATCTAGGTTTTTCCAAATCGTAAATTTAGTTGAAGGGTTTGGTAAATACTAATAAACATTTTTTTGAAGCATATTTCTACAAATTCCATTCAACTTAACGTATGGTTCATAAAAGGATGTCATTAAGCTCTGCTAATACAGATAAGCTTTCTTTCAACACATGGTTTAGTCAAAGTTACCAAATCTTAGTTGAGGCAACCACGATTTGGTTTGAGATCGGAACATATTCATGCTTGTGAGCCACCCCTTAAGAATGCTGAGCACTCTCTGAGCACATGTGTGTTCACATACAGTCCCACTTATTAGCTCTGATCCAGTACCTCATGAACTTACAGGATTTTAGACGAACTTGCAGGAAAAATGTTCCCGTACTCCAAAATCTTCCAAAATCGTGTAAATGAGAGCGACTTTTGGAGAGTTGTGTAGAGAATGAAGTTGCAAGATTTTACCCGAACTTTTTCTTCTGGTAAAACCATGAAAAGTGTCGAGCAATCACGTTTTTACAGGAAAAATGTTTTTTTTGTTCCCGTACTTTTTGTTGTTACTCACTTTTTACTCTCACTTCAGAGAGTAATTTTGCTGTTTGACAGTTTTACAGGATTTTTCACGAAAAGTATTGGATCAGAGCTATTGAATTGTTCGAATGTGCTTGTATGCCGACCATCCCAGCAAACAATTTGGTAATCGTTTTGCAAATCAAGCTTAAAATAAGCTTGCTTACATAGGCTACTGCGAGCGTTTTAAACCAAGCTTAAATTAAGCTTACATGAATAAGGCTTTTGCAAGCGCTGTAAGTTCGACATTTACAAAATATTTGGTATTGTAAGTGTTTTGCGAATGTCGTTTAGATTTTGCTTGGCAATGCAACCGTTTTATAAATGTCGACTAGGTTTACTGTTATTTTTCAGCGCAATCAAACAATATATTTGTATAACTCATTCTAGTTTTGATTTCTGAAAAGTAAAGAAGTGAAAATATTGAATTTGTACTGATATAAAGTAAGCGAAAAAGTGAAGTGAAAAAGTAAGTTCGTTTTTTTGTTTTATATAATGTCGGCAGCAAAAAAAAAACCGAGAA